GCATAATTGGACAACCCCAGTTACCCTTTTGATCGTGTTAAATTTCTGATGAATGGAAATCTAGTTACATCAACTTCCATTACAAGTAGTTAAGAATAAAGTATATATATCACAGATAAAAAATTTGGCAGTAATTATTTTGACACAATAATTTTGATTTGGTGAAGTCTCACTGTGTTACTGGCTGTGTGAAACATTGTACATTATATATACATTAAATATAAAGTATAATGTGATATAATGTACAACGTTACACAGTGAGACTTCACCAACTAAATCAAAATAATTGCTGCCAAAATGATTATCTGTGGCAATCAAGCGACAGATAAGCTTGAAAATGCTTGAGCATTCCTTCAAAGTGTAAAAGAGGTGCAAAGGCGTAACCCTAATCTAACACATCTGATCCCCTTGGGAAGAATCCCAGACACCCTCTTAAGAACAACAATAATTACGACTACTATTAGACCCATTCAGACGTTTTGGGAGTCACGAGCTCAAGGGGGGGAAAGGGAATCATGAATATAAATTAGACTTAACTTAGTTTTCTGTATGTTGCAATCATTCTTATCAAGAGGGTCAGTGTAATCATGTTTCAGATAAAACCAAACATTTTGTGTTATGTGGTGCCAAAAGCACAAACACTACTATCTGCATGGATTTAAACCCCATTCTCCAGCATGCAAAACCACGGCCTTACTCACCGCTCATTTTATTATTTAGTAACAGCTCTATTTTTAAAATAAAATGCACTGATTTTTCAAAATTTCTGCTTAATTAAGTGGTTAAGATGTGAATAAAGTCATTCAGAGTGGTTTGATGTGAAACGCTCTGTTCTAGAGAAACTCACAAAGTCAGAATTGTCCACAGTGGAGGTGATAAGAACCGTCTGAGTTTAATGCATGTAAAAGTTACCTCACATAAGGTTATTACATGACATGTTTATGAATACACTGCCTGAAGCCTGAGACATTATTTTATCATCTTTTTTTAGAAGGTTTTGGCCTAAATATGTGATCATAAATATCTTTAAAACTCATTCATGACAGAGAGCTGCATCCAGGTTGTAGTGAGGCAAAATAGTCCCTATAGAAAGCTTATTTTTCAGATTTATCACCTTTATACAATTATCAACTCAGAAGACACGTGAAGGTTCACTGGTCATTTTGTATAGTAAATAAACTGGCTATATTCATATTAGCATTAACATCACATTAACATCTCAACATTTAAATTATAAAGAAATTTTGGTGGTAAAAATTGGTGGAGTTTCCCTTTAAGAGCTCCACAGAGTCTTGTTTAAATCCCTTTGCATTTTGTCATTATGAAGACCTGGTATAGAAAGTTATTAAAAGGGAATTCCACTGCTTTTTCAAAATTTCTGCATAATTAAGTAACTGAAGTGTAAACAAAGTCACCCAAAGTGGTTTGATATGAAATGCACCGTTCTAGAGAAAATTATCGAATCAGAATTGTTCATAGTGGTGGTGACAGGAACTAGACTTCTGAAGAGTTTAATGCCTGTAAAAGCCACTGTCTTACAATATTTTTGGGATAAAATTTGGGCTGAAATGTATTTTTTAAGCATAATTACAGTGGAGAGGTAAATGTAAGGTGTTCCAAGGCAAATTAGTACATAAGAAAAACATATTTCTTTATTTACCGTTATCAGCATCGCATTTAAAACTCAGAAGACACATGTAGGTTCACTAGTCATATTGTATATGGCTACTATCACCTCCATTATAAAGAAATCTGACTGACTAATTTTTTTCTACAACGATTTTTTAAAAATCCCCCTTTAACACGCTTATTTCTGCCATTATGGAATGTGATGCTTTTTCAAGAGATTATCAGTGTTTTATTGGTGGGATTTCCAGCGCTGAGGTTATGCATGACAGGTCGGAGTTACAGAGAAGAACCACAGATGGTCAGTACTGTTCCAGAGGGGGCACCCAAGAGGGATGAACCTTGTAGGACCCTGGCTAACCCACAAGCTCTGGCCCTGGAGTGATGTTGAGCCCCACTTCACTGAAACACAGCTTGAGGAACGGTGGTAGCAATTTAAAATACAATTATTTTACACTCCAACTAAGAGGGCACTTGTATAGTGCGAGGGCAAAGAGGTGGGCACTCCCACCTCCCGGGGTATACATGTGCACACACCTCACTACTATAACACAAAAAGAGCCAAAAATGCTGCAGTTACTCGTTTTAATTCCAGTAAAACGATTCAAAGAGAGCGCAGAGAGAATGAGAGAGAGGCAGAGAGAGTGAGAGAGAGGCAGAGAGAGTGAGAGAGAGGCAGAGAGAGTGAGAGAGGGGCTGTTTACAACACAAAGACAACACATTTCAAATCAATACAGTCTAATTAAGCAAAGACTATTTTTAAACTTCAGTCAAAGCTCGAGTGCTGAGAATGTCCAAAGAGGCTGCTTTAAACCAGGGACTGAAACCACACTGATCAAAAATATAAGCATAATATATTTAAAAATGCAGCTTCTGTGGCATGATTAATAATTCACTTTTTAAAATAATTTTTATCATTTTATTATCATCTGTCTGCTTTCCTAAATCGTTTTATGATTGCATACTGAGAGCACAAATTGTATAGGAGTATTGTAACTAGTTGTCGCCCTTGCCAACTTGTGAAATAAATCACTGCTCCATTTGTTTTACTGAAATATGCAAGTGTGTTTTTAAAGAAATGCACACCGCATGTTCCATATAACTACATAAATAATAACATATAATTTCTGTCAGAACAAAACCTTGTGTCTTCAAAATAGCCACTTCTCAGGAGAATGAAAAAAACATTCTTACAGTGTATAAGTAAGTAAGTAATAAGTATTTTGCTATTTAATACACTTCCAGTGCATAAATCCAATTCAAATTTACACACATTTGGCCCTTATTCATCAAATATCGTATCAGTTTAATATGTTTTTAAATGGAATACGCAATAGCTGCAACATTTGTTTACCAATGTGCTTGAAAAATAAGTACATCCGCTTTTGTACTGGATTTCCATGCGCATAAAATGATTAGTATTATCGTTATTTCCTATTTTTATTGTTATTATTGATATTTTATGGTATTGATAATAGTTTTGGCTAGTTAACTTTTTTCAATCTGTTTAACTTTAGCTTCAGCTCATATTCATACACACTCCAACCAGATGTGGTGGGTAACCTGGAGGTAGGACAGGTGAGCCATCAACCTGAAGGCCGTGGTTTCAATTCCCCTCCGACTGACCAAGTATACCTGGTTGTGCCTTTGGGCAAGGCACTTAACCCCCCCACTCCCTCAGGTGGCGTGGCTCTGCTGGTGACACTTTGCTGCTCCCAGATTGGGCATAGTTAGGCAGCAAAACGATGAAATTTCCTTGTAGGACCAATGAAGTATATAACATAACAAGTTTGATTGAACAAATTCTTAAATTATGAAATTGACGAATAACTAAATAGTGGGTGAAATTTGTGTGCAGCCATATTATGATCAGATTTCATTGTAGGCAACCTTGATGAATAATGGCCAATGTCTTCTGATTTGTATTTATAAACAGAAACAAAAGCATGAATTAATAAACATACAAAAGATATGTTTAAGAAACAAAATCAATATGGACACCATTTTCAGACACCACAAATTAATAAAATTAGTACTTTAGTACATTAGTAGCAGCATTGTGGTTCAATTATGCCCTGTTTCTCACAGCAAACCATCTTCAGTTCCCCATGAATACGAGGATCCTTTAGTTGGACTTAACATTATCCATTATTTTTTCAATGATCCAAATCAGGAGATTCACTAGACCATGCAAACACCTTCAACTCCTCTTTAAGAAACGAGTCTTGAGTTATTTTGGCTGTATGTTTGGGATTATTGTCTTTTTGAAACGGCCATCTTCTCCCCAGATTCAGTTTCTTGGCCGATGAGATTAAATTCTCCTCTGATATCTCCTGGGACATCGCTCCATTTATGTTTTCTTCAGTGACGTGTGATGCCTCAGTGCCATTTGCAGAGAAGCAGAGCCATATTATGATACTCCCACCCTCATACTTCACTGTGGTGTTCTTGCGATCATACGTGCAACCTGTTTTTCTCCAAACAAGATGAGCTGAATCACTGCCAAAAAGTTCTACTGTTGCTTCATCTGACCAGAGCACATAAAGAATTCTAAAAGAGTTCTAAGTTTAGCGCGAGGTATAGTAACGGAGATAACTGCACTGATAACTGCTCATTGCTCTTGGTGTAACTGTTGTTCCTACTGCTATCAGGTCATCCCGAAAGTATTTCTGAATGGCTTCTGCTGGCTTCTCTTTTACCTTCCTCATCATTATCCTGAGAGAAATCTTGCACGCTACACCTGTACATGAACATCCATGAACTTTCCAAACGCATATTATCAAAACTAGATGTTTAAGGTCTTTGCTTTGGCTCTGTAGCTTTTTCCATTTGAGTGTTATTTAATAATGTTTCCCTGAGAACTTTAGGAAGCTCCTTCACCTCCTCAATGATTGTTATTTGATGCGTAAAATCTTCCCAATCAATAGCAACATTTTTTACAATGACACCAGGTGCAATTTAGTGCAATATAATAGCTTTTGTTCCCTATCAGTTTTGTTTTTTAAATCTCTCTTTGTTCATGCTTATGACATTCCATTTATTTTTTAGTTCTTATTTATAGTACAATGGCAAAACACATCATGCACTGTAAGAATATTAAATAACAAAAACAAAAGTGTTGTAACTTTTAATGTACGTTAATGTAAAGTCCTATTTCAAGTCATTTTGGAACACTTGTAATAGTTCATTCAAATTTTTCACACAATGTAAAGAGCATTTCTAAAATTGCATTTAAAAAAAAGTAACAGGGTTACAAGGTTTTGTTCTGATAGCAACATCATAGTTGCAGCGTACCAAAATAACCACGCAGTACATGTGATCACGCGCCGTCAATCCTATAATAGCACGAACTGGATCTCTACATGGGAGCTCACCTGATTTGTGGGCAGAGCGTAGACAGGTGAGGGAGGCGTTCAGGCGAGCACACTCCTCCTCACTCGCCCCGAACTTCTGCAGCGTCTCAGACACCTCTTCATCCGACATCTCCAACAGCGCCTCCAGAGTCAGCTCACCTGGAGAGATCTCCTTCAACACAGCAAGGAGGAAAAATTAGGGCTCCCACAGGAAAAAAAACATATGAGGTAAACACATTCAGCTTAATAACACTTATGCACACAGAGATACTATCACAGGATGTATGCAGTGCAAAATTTGATGCATTATTAAAGAATCCACTGCACCAGAAATGCTCAGAAAATGCAACATCATACATAAAAAATACACGCAGAGAAAAACAGGCCTAAGTCATTTTCAAATGATGAAAAGTAATAGTGGTGTAAAAGTAAACGCATTAATAACCCGTTAAGAATAAATAGTTTTGACGTCATTAACACGTTTTCCTAGTTTGAACATTTGAACAGCGATGAAGCAATGAAAATTAGAATCTGTGTTCAGCCTGCATAAATCACATGATTTTCAGGGTCTGCATTCTAAGGCAGGTCATGTAAAAAATAATTACGACTGTTTTTGGTTCATAAAACTGCCCAAACACCATAAATTATCATAATCATCTGTAATCATTTCATGTAATAACTTTCTGTGAATGAGTCTTTGCACATCTGGTTCTATCACCACTATAAGGTTCTCTAAAGCGAATTTCATGTCAAACTACTATGAGTGACTTCGTTTACATCTTAACCGTTACACAGAAAATATGGATAACTGGTGCACCTGACACGTGATTAATTGTACACATGTAGTTGTACAGTTTCCATAAAAAAATCACTGATCAATAGAATGTGATGCTCTGCATTACCATGCCCAATAACGAGCATCAGCTAGAGGGGTATAAAGCCCCCCAGCGTTTGGCTGTGGAGCAGCACAGCTGTGTTATCTGGAGTGATGGAGCTACAAAAACGCTGGAATGAGTTTAAGCAGAGTTTGTGATCCTGAACTCATCATCCAACATCAGCATCACTAATGCTCTCAACGCCAAATGCAATCAAATCCTCACAGCAATGTTCCAACATCTATTGTAAGGCCTTTTTCATTTAAATCTGGAAATAGTCTTACCATTTCTACTGAAGCCTGTGTCAGGCATCTCTTGGGTGGATTTGATTTACTCATTAGAGGCTTTTGTCACTGTTAGAGATCAGAGTCTGTGCCACCTCAAGTGCAGTCATTAAAGCAAAAGAGGGACAAATAATAAGAAATTCGGAAATTCATGTAAATATTTTAAAGATTCTACTTTTTACTTACATTGTTATGCAAACAAAATAATTTATAATGAAAAACATTGTATTAAATTAGAGCTGAATGCAAAATAAAAGCATTTTCACGAGTGGTCTCAGACTTTCAGACTCCTCTGTACAAATTAGTGTCCAAAGCCTCTGCTTCTCTGTATAATTAGATTTTTAATTTAATGTTTAATTTCTTGAATTTGAATGTTCTTTGTATTTTCTCACTTGCAAAGCACTTTACATGGCTGGACTGCAGTGTATGAAAGGTGTTATATAAATAAACTTGCCTTGCCTATAAGAGAGAACAGTAGGAGAATTTGCTGATGCTGATGGGCCTAGAGTGAACATAACTGACTGATAATGACAAATCAGAAATAAATACCTAATTTAGGCCTGTTTTATGACACTCAGACAATTCAAATTCACTACAATCTGGACCGCAACAAAAAACGCAATTACTCCTCCTCACCACAAGAGGGGCTCAGCACCATGGACAGCACCACATGGAGGTCTAAGCAATTTAACCCCCCATAAGTATCTGACATTTAAATGGGAAAATGTTTCGCCAGTATAACAAGCGCAGCAGTGTATGGAAACAATTTTGTGCCCAAAGGTATTCGGACACCCCATGCAATCAGTAAATTCAACTACTGTAAAAGGGAATTTCACTCATTTTTGAAAATCTCTGCATAATTAAACGGCCGAAATGTCAAAAAAGTCATTCGGAGTGGATTAATGTGAAATAGTGCACTGCAGAGACACTTACTGACCCAGATTTCTTTACAGTGGTGGTGATGAGAACCAGGTGTCACAATATCTACAACACAAATATAGCCTTTTTATTTACTATCCAAAATAACCAGTGAACCTACACATCTCTCGGGCTTTTATTAATGTTGTTAACGGTAAAATACCTGTAAATCTGGAGAAAATGCATTTTCTTTGAGTACTATTTTGCCTTACAACATTCTAAACACTCTAAACACTTCTAAAATTATAGCTTAGGCCGAAACCTACAAACTATCGTAAAATAATAACTCAGGCACAGGGAACATTTTTGTAACCATTTCATTTAATAACTTCCTGAGAGGGAGATTTAGACTCTTTGAACGTCTGGTTCCTATTACCACCACTGTGAACTGAGTTAAACTACTCTGCATGATTTTGTTTACATCTTAACTGTTATGCAGAAATTATGGGAAACTGTTGTTCCCTTTTAAGGTGCGTCCATTACTGACACAAGTGTTTAACTGCACATATAAAGTTTGTATAATCTCCATTAAAATGCATCGGCCAATAGAATGGGGCGCTCTGCATCACCATGCCCGATACTAAGCCTCAGCTAGAGGGGTATAAAGACCCCCAACATTGGGTCGTGGAGCAGCACACCTGGACTGATGGAGCTCCAATAACTTTGGGATGAGTTTGAATCATCCCACATCAGCATCACTAATGCTCTTGCGGCTGAATGCAATCAAATCCTCACAGCAATGTTCCAATATCTAATGTAAAGCCTTTTTGGAAGACTAGAGGCTGTTACTGCAGCAAAAGGGGAACAAACGCCCTATTAACACCCTTGGATAAGCAACATTTGGAGATCCTGTATTTCCATTAAACTCAACATAAAGGCATTCCCGTCATTCTGAATAACACACAATTATAATATCCCTATTTAATAATAATAAAAAATAAAATGCTTTTTTATTACCATAATAAATACACTCTGAAACATTATTAGTTTGCACAATAACTGAGAGATTATACAACTGTATGTGTGCAATTAAACTGATATCAGTCAGTACAACTAATATTCTACTTATTAAATGTTTAGAGTGTATTTATCATGTATGGCAATAAAAGAACAATTTTTTTTTGTTATTAATAGGGATGTTATAATTGTGTGTCATTCAGAATGACTTGATTGACTAAAAAAAGTTGTGCAAGCTCATTTGTTTAAAGTGTAGTCTCTAAAAAATAGTTCTGACCTCTTGTACATAAAGAGTGTTATGACAAGGTTTGAGGTTTTTAGCCCACCAAACAGCCGTTACAAAACACCACTTTCTAGCAAATGGAAGCTGCAGAAGCAGTTATGCTATGGCTGTTCTGTTCTAAAAATGGTCTGCAGTCATTTCAATACCAAATATAGGTTTTCAATTCAGCGTACGCCTCAGAGGATGAAAGACGGGGTCAGCTCGCTGGCTTCTGACTGCAGACTTTTCACCCTTTAGAAAGCATTCTCCAGGAGAGAAGCTAGAAGTCATCCCAAAACAGTTTTGGGAATATTATTGGAAGGCAGTTCAGGAAACAGGTTTGATTTTGAATGGAATTCACTCCTAACCTCCTCTAGCTTAGGCAGTGTGGCCTGAACACGCTGCTTTATTGAACTGCGGTCATCTACTCCTACCTGAGGAACACTTCAACTACAAACTGATCATTCTGTTCTAGAAAGTTTAATGACTGTGGAGGCATCCTAAAGTTGGAGCAATGAGAAATGGCATCAGGCAACTTTGCTCCATACAATTCCACAATGAATCTACAGGGAAACCAGATGGCATAGCATTGCTTCAGAGCATCCTGTCCTATTGGTAATCCAGCTGAATGTCTGTATTAGCAATGGGTGCACCTTAAAGTTGCTGAAATCACTATTCGGGAGGGCTGTATGGATACTTTTGGACATATATATGGAAGTATATTTCTCACTCGTAGCTCATTGATTGAAACAGACTCAGAAACTCTATAGTAAGTAATCTTATATTTGTGCACATATGTACAGAAGTGGAGACTCTATGATCTGCTATTTACTATGATTTGATTTTGATTGTTATTTTTGTGTTTACAGTCTTGTTTTGCAAGAACAAAAACCGTCTTTTACATTTTTGCCATGTTTTTTTATCACTTGTTGACATCAAAACAAACAGGAAAAGTGCAGACGGGTATGAATACAGAACCTAAAAAACCTAAATGCACATTTTTCTAATGATGTAATAGATCATGTGTAATTGTGTAATTACTTTTGAAAGGTAAAGAAAAATGAAAGTAACTACAGTAAACTGTTAAGGGTTAAAGTGCATAAATATAACCAACACACACTGCACCATATATACACTGTTTCAAGTAACCTCCAGCAAAAACAATTAATGTGTGATTAATAATGCGATACAACAAACAAGACTATCAAAACTTCTGCTCAAGTCAAGAGTTACTGCTTTCGCTTTGCTATAAGATTCAAAGGTAAATCATAATTAAATGGTTATTACATAGTTAGCTACTCTGAATTAGCATTCAGTATTTATAGGTACAAGTGTGTACTGCTGGAGCCTTTTTCTGTTTCTCTTGATCGCCACAAGTAACAATAATAATACAAAATGTAGAGGATGTTTTATCTTTCTGGAAACAAGACTGCACCCATGATAATAACATCTCATCAAATTCATGAAAAAAATAACTCCTGTTTAACTTACAAACACAAATGCAGAGTGGTTTGAAAGTTTAGAATCTGCACTTTACACATCATTTCTTCATGAGCCACTAATGACAGTAAATCATATGGAATTACACCATTGCTGTTAGGACAAAAGAAAGGGTGAAAGATATGGGAGCTAAACAAGGTTTATCAAAGTACTGATTTTGTGATAGTCCTTGATTCACACATCATGTTATTTATCATATGCTCTCTCTCTCTCTCTCTCTCTCTCTCTCTCTCTCTCTTTGTGTTGTACCTCGGTCACCTCCTTCCTCATGTTGACAATGCGGAGCCAGTGAGTGAGGCGAGGGAATCCGTCCAGCTCTACGTTCCGCTCCTGTAAGGGCACTTTATTCTTATAGGAGAGCTGCCGGCTGAAATACTTCACCAGCTTACCCTGAGACAGAGAAAGAGAGAGAGAGAGAGAGAGAGAGAGAGAGAGAGAGACAGAGAGAGAGAGAGAGAGAGAGAGAGAGAGAGACACAGAGAGAAACAGAGAGAGAGACAGAGAGAGAGAGAGAGAAAGTAGAGACAAAAAAATGTATTAAAAATAAAAGCACAGTCATTTAAATCCACACTAATAAGTACAACCACTGGACAAAATGTTCCTCTACAGCTACTCAAACTTCACTTTTGCTCATTAAAAAGAAATCAGAGGGCTGCTGGTTGTAAACCACACTTGCTAAAGTCTTTGAGCAGTGCTGTGATGCCCCTGGCCAAGCTATCTGACCCTAAGCTGCCCCAGGTATGTGACTCACCTCCCTGTTAATTTTTAGCTGTACATACAGTAGGCTATACTTCTGTAGGAATGCATGTTCACAAACTCTGTAAAACCAGCTGATGCCAGGAGTGTTGTCCTACAGATATAATTCTGTATTAATGGAAATTCCACCTCAAAAGAGTTTCCGCATAAATGAATACTTAAGATGTAAACAAAGTCATTCAGAGTGGACTGTTATGAAATGCTCCGTTCTAGAGAAACTTACCAAGTCAGATTTGTTCACAGTGGTGGTGATAGGAACAAGACATCCCAAATTTAATGCCTCTAAAGCTCCCTCACAGAAAGTTATTCCAAAGGTTGTACCGTACTAATGACTGAGTCAGTGTTTTACGATAGTTTTAAGAAGGGTTAATGCTTGTATTTTTTTAAATACATTCATGGTAGAAGGGTGCATGCAGGCAAAACAGTCCCTCAAAGAAAACTTACCTCTTCAGATTTACCACTGTTCTACCATCATCAATATTACATATAAAAAATCAGTAGACACCTGTAAGTTCACTGGTGGTTTTGGATAGTAAATAAATGTTTACATTTGTGCTGTAAATAATAACACCTGGTTACTACACTATAAACTTTTTAGCTGAATGTACTTAAAAATCTTGCAAACGTATTGCACTGAAAAAATTAAGTTACTTAACAGGTTCTAGCTTAAATAACTTTATATATGAGTTATGGATACTTTCTAATTTTCAGTCAGCTACACAGCCCAATCATTATGAATGGTTTCCATTGACCTGGCAATACTCTGCTTTTCAAGGCCTGTTTACTCTTGAATTAGTTAGGTTAACATGAAGCAAATATTTTTCCTTATGTAAACAGACTGTTAAGGAATAAATGGCTTAGATAAGACTAGAATTATCCATTTCTGAGGACTCTAATGGCTTAATGCATGTTTCCCCCTCTTTTACTGCTCATGGCCACAGGCTGAACTGATAAACCTGAACACCAAACACCCCCATGCTGAGAATAACAAAAACATGCATCCATACTTAACAGTTTATGACAAAAAATAGCATCACTATGCGAAGAAAATGAATGAAAATTAAAAAAAATAAGAGTTAATTAACTGAAACCAACAAAACTGCTAAGAATGTTGGGACATTTTTTGGGCAAAAGACTCTTCAGTTTGTAGATCGTATTCAAATGAATAGGTCAAGACTACATTAGCCAAGTAACTAATGCATTATCCAAAAAATAGAATATTTTACTAGATTTGCATTAGTAAGTTTAACAAGTAAAGTAAACCAAAAAATAAGTTAGTGCAATCGTTCCATTGTACAGTGTGTTAAGAAACCTGAGTCTGTAATCTTATTTATCTACAACGACTTTCACATCAAACCACTCTGGATGACTTTGTTTATCTCTGAACTATTAAATTATGCAGGAAATATGAAAAAAATGATGGAAATTTCCACAAAGGCACATGATTTTTTTTACATAAATGGCTTCAGAAAAATATAGTCTGTGTAAAATCTGAGTGTTCCTATATTCTTAATTGTCCCATCCTGCTTAATATTTCATGAACTGGAGCACTGCACGTTGCAGACAACATAAATATTCTAAATTGGACAAGTTTTCCCAAGCCAGTGATGTCATTGCGGCGTTGATGCAGGCAGGCGAAGACAGCTAAACAAAGCTGGAGAACAATACAAATGCATACATGTGTGACTTTACTTAAGTTCGCATAACACAGTCCAAAATATCGCTTCTGTATCTTTCCTTAAATCTGATCTAGTGCCAGTAGCGTCAGACCCTACAAAAAGATGTGAAAAAAGTGAATCTGGATGCTGAGATCTGATGTAAAAGCCAGAACTGGGAAGTGAGGGGGATATTTGACCATGGACTGCAGAGCTGAAGAGTCTACCTAGCGCAGGGGTGGGCATACGGCTCTTTTACTGCCCTGTTGCGGCCCAACAACAGAATTCGATTTTTAGGTAAAAATAAAATAATCCTCCTTTGCAGTGAAATAAGGCTCTGCTGATCATTCAACACAGTTTTAACAATAAATGGTCTTAAACGCTGGAGCCTATAACTGCTAATTTACCAACCTTTAACTCTGATTGGCGCACAGACTGCTGGTCACCATAGCAACCCAGACAACAATCTCACCTAGCTAGTAGCTAAAATTAAGAGAAATAAAGAGAAAGATTTAAGATGATGTGTACTGCTGGTGGAAGGTGGAACTGGAAAATTCAAACAAGAAGCTGGTAAATCAGAAGCAACTTCGGCCTCGTAAAAAGTCGAACATTGAGACACATTTTACAAGAAACTGCTCCACTTTTGAGGAAAAGTTTCCTGCCAGAGATGTAAAAAAAAGCGGCTATAGCTGAGCTAAAGCTTAAAGCAAAGTCTGCGTTTTCGTTTATATTTTTTAGCCTATACCAGTAGAACAGCACATACTGAGACATATTTACTGCGAAGATGGTAAAATGGACATAAAATGTTGTGACTCCCAAGGTGGTTTGATTTTTCCAGAAAGGACAAAATGGTTCTTCTCAACATTTGGTTTGGTGACCTCTGATCTAGCCTATGACCCAACCTGTCTTTTAACAAGAGCCAAAGAATTTTCACTAGGCTGTGCAAAAACGCTTTAGCCATTGGTAAGCTTTAACAATGCCTTTTATTTTGCTTCCTAAAATGTTTAACAAAATGATATTTCACAGAAAAAATATTTTTAGCACATCTAACTGATGTCAGACTTCAGGGCAATATGACTATATATTGTTATTGTGGTGCTTTTCTGAACTTATTGTGTATATTGTCAGTACTTGTGGAATACTTAATTTAGTATTTAGGACACTATGCAAAATACTGAATAAAAATCATTGTGTACACAGGTTTGATATTATTTTTAAAATGTTGCACTACTAGTTCTTTTTTCTCAGTTTCAACTGATCAAACGTCAGGAAAAATTTGATTATAATTATAGGATATTAGATTTTTGCATCGCCCACCTCTAGCTGACTCTTTGTTTGGAGAAAGGCTGGAGCTGTTTTTCTTAAGTGGTGTCAGTGAGCTTGTATACACTGACGGGATCATGAACCCAGAAGTGTACAAAGCTATTCTGGATGTAAATCTGCAGAAGTCTGAGGAACTGCTCAAACGATACCAATCTGAAACAAACCGGACGCCTGAAGAAAGAAAACTTTGACAAAACCTAAATTGGAATGATTTGTTTTTGGCTTGATATTTTGTTTCCTAACACTGTGAACTTAATACATTTTTAAAGTAAGGCACAAATTTCCAAATATTTTTGGGGGTCAGTGCATTACTGGCATGAATTTATAATCCTTCTATCTTATAAATCTTAAATATGAGGTGTGGGGGGGGGGGGTCCTGAAGTTTCTCCTGACTTCCTCTCAGAATCTCAGTCCAGCTGAATAATGCAACACAGTTAAAAAGTCCAACAAAATGTAACCTACAGTCATGTGCAAAAAATTGTGCACCCCTGGTCAAATTACATACAGTGAAAGTAAGTTAACACATTCTCTACAGAGAGCAAACTACTGTACATTTTACTGTTTATTTGCTGAATTTAATATATGGGGAGAATATTGTATATTACACAATATTATATAAAATGTGGTCTGTGCAAAAGTTTTGGCACATTTTAAATTTTTTTGTTTTCCAATATATTAAACTCAGCACAGAAACAGTTGTGCAGAGGATGTGTTAACTTGTTTTCATGTCAAAAATCAATAAAACATATAACTTGACTGGAGGTGTTCAAATGTATCTAATTCTCATTTCAAATGTGCTTCACAAAGAATGCTTGTTATACTATAAACACAGGTATTATGTGTCTATTTCGCTTTTTCTCAACCCCATACATGCATACTGATAGCATATATATCAGGTGGCTCTGTACACACAGTAAAAACTACTGTCATCTTGACTGCAATGGCCATGAAACAAAAGAATGGCCTATCAAAAACACATTCTGCAGTCCATATTCTTGACATCCAGACACTTTGGACAAGTCAAAGTTCTACATTAGCATAAATCCAGAGGGAAAAGTTGTCCTGTTTACTACAATAAGGTTCTTAGCAGAAAGGGAAGAGTTTAGAAGAGGGGAGGGGTGAAGATCCTGAGGTTTCTCCAGTGTGCAGAGGAAGTGGCTTAGTCCCAGAACCTCAGTCCAGCTGCATAATGCAACAAAGTATGGGTTCTGATATTGCATGTGGCCAACAAAATTCACTTAGAAGATGAATAAATAAAAACGCTCATATAACTGTAAACAAACAGGTTGTGTGTCTATTTCTCTTTTTCTCAGTCCCAGACATGCATTATGAAGCTGTCATATCAAAGGCTCCTAATTATGTGTTTTCCATTTTTTATTTTTACACCATTTGAAAACATCAGCTGTCCTTTACATTGTGTAAAGGAGCATTTTCACCAACAGAAAAGTTATTTTAAAAAATATTAAAAACAGAATGTACATTAAGGTTATGTATATATAATTTAATATCAAAGTGCATATTCCCTGCCTGTGAAAAGTTCAGGATAAGATAAGATAAGATAAGATAAGATAAGGTTTTTACAGTTTGTTACTTGTTGCTTTAGAGACAATATATACAACCCCAATTCCAAAAAAGTTGGGACACTGTGTAAAATGT